AAAAAAAGTATGCGAGTCAGTGCAAAGCACGAGATAAAAACTAGTTGCTTCGACTCATCTTCCCCAAAAAGTGGTAACACAATCCTAATACGATTTGAATTTATCTTTTATCTTTTTATTTATAAAGATAAAACTAATGATATTAATAAATTTGTACTAAATAATACTAAAACATAATTACTTTCTTAATCTAGGACTTAAACTTTTTTATTCCTTAGAGAGAACTTAATAATGTCTTAGTGGGAGGAATAATGCCCAGTAATAAATTAATAATGAACATTTACTTGAATAATGACTAATTAATAATGACCAAAAGTCCTACATTGGGAAATAAAAACATATGGTCCTATATTGGAAAAGTCATTGTGTTTTAGCCCTATTTAGGTAAATTACTCATAATATTATTTGAAGTGATAAAAGTTTAATATATCAAAACTAAATTTTAAAATTAATATTATGATATTAAATTTATATCATCATAAAATATATTTTTTCATAATTTGTAGTCCACTCGATCGAATATATCCGAAACCGAAATATATCTGAACCGGACTAGACCCAAAACCGAAATATATCCGAATCAAATTGTATCCGAATCAAAATCTATCCGAACCGATTCATAACCGAACCGTATCTGAACCGACTCAAAACCGAACCGAACCGAAAAATGTATAGAACCGAAATCAAATCCGAACCGAAATTTAATCAATCCGAACCGAACCGAACCGATTATAACATATAACCGAAAGATATCCGAACCGAAAAAATTCAATCCGGAACCGATCCGGTTGATCCGATTGCCACCTCTAGTATTGAGATTATGTAGAGCTAATCATAAACTCATAGGTTACACTCAAACAGGAAATGTGGTACCTAGCTTTGCTTGTACTTTGTGAGTAATGGCAACTATACTTTCTCTGCGAAGCATGTAGCAATACGAAAAATGAAGGAAATCTGCCATCTTTCACCCTGAAACATTTATATTTGAGAAAGGAACAACTCACAAGAGGCAAGAACATTGTCATATGAATATGCTCATATATACATATTCCTTTCAAGAACACTGCCACATGAATATGCTCATGTATACATATTCCTTCATTTCATATCAATATGTTCACATATACATATTCCTAAGTTTAACCTTTCAAGAACACTGTCCTAAGTTCAACGGTTCAACCTTTCAAGAACATTGTCATATGAATATGCTCATATATGCATATTCCTTCATTTCATATTAGTTGTCTACTAACACTTTCTTGATACATTAAAGAATGAATGAATGTAGACATACATTATGTCTACATCCATCACTTTTTCAATGTATCAAGAAAATGTGTTAATAGACAGTATACCATTCCCTTCAATACGATACATTTTTATTAAGCTTTAAACCCTAGGTCTCTAGCTCAAAAATGAGAAAGGTCAACCTCTCCATGCAATAAGAGCATGAACAATGATGCGGCAAAAATGAAATGCCACACGGTGACGTGGAATATTACAACCAATAAAAAACAGTCTAGTCACCATGTGTTAGTGAGTGACAAACTCTGCAGTTACTTTTACCACTTTTAATTTTTTTGATATATTTTGATTATTAAAAATTATTTTACTTACCATAAAAATTTAAAAGATAAAAATATAAACATAAAAATAAATTAGTTTAAAAAAAAAATAAAAAATAAAAAACAAACTCAAGCATTGACACGCCCATGCCACAATTTGAAGAGTGGAATGCTTTTTCATTCCATGCCCATCATGGCAATTAATGAGGTGGCAGCATATGTGTCAACCATGGCAAAAATTTCCCACACCGTTGTTGATGCTCTAATAAACAAAAAAGAGCAACACTCTTCTTCACTACACTTCTCCTTCCTAAGTTGTCTTATTATTACTCTTATGTTAGTTGGAGAATTGTGAATAGTCCCATAACTTTTTTTGAATAAAAATATAACCCAACTAGTCACAAGATTGGGCTCAATGTAGTGTAGAACACCGTCATTTAAGGTTGCTTGAATACACAATTACCCAACACTAATGATGTGCTACCTTGAAATAAAGTTGAAAAATCTATTTGAAAAATTAGTTTGGGTAGGAGTGTGTGGTATTTGTTTATGCAAGACTACACATAGAATACTAAAAGGACTAATTGATGTTCACGCCGATTTCAATAATACCATAATCACTGTTACAAATGTACAAGGACAGGTAGTTCAAGATCCTCTGCTGGTATTTCTGGATTGCATTTACAACCTTACGGAAGATTGTGAACACTTCTTCTCAATCTTTTGCAATGTGAATAAGGTTAAGACAAAAAAGGGGGCATGATTCCCTTATATACATACAGTTTCATCTGGGGTTGAAAACATGAAACCAATACTCTAATATGAATCATTTAGCCATATTACGGGGTTCATTTCATACCAGCAAAGCATATAAACTAACAATAGTCGTGCAAACTCATGACTTGACTCTCGAAACTATTGTAACAACAATGAGTTTATGAACATATAACCCCAGTTACTTGAGAAAAATGAAAGAAAACAAGCCCATATCAAACTGGAAAAGAACACATGACAAAAATGAAAAACTAATACAAGATACAAATTGAGCACTGTGCGATGAGAAGTGGCATAGGAAAAAGATGGCATCAATTATCTTGTAAATGTAGCAGGACGAATTTAAATTGGTAGCAAGTTAAACAGCAGATATATCACACCCTAAAGAATGTTTGTTTGAAATTCAATCCTAAGAGATCTTTGAAATTACATTAAATTTTATTCTTGAGAAGAATGCATTTCATCTAGAACAGAGACGCTAGAATTCACCAATCCACGAACTCCAAATGAAGTAAATTCCCTTGTAAACAATTTTCCCCACTATTTAGATACCAAGAATTTCAAGATTCTATTATATGGTAAAAGTTATTCAAAGCAAGACCAACCCCTTCAAACTTAAGGATGACGCTCAAAACCCCTGCTAAGTAGTTCATTGAAGCCGACGAGGCTACTTATGCAGTTTTTCAAACAACAGTTACACTCAAACTCAAACTGGGAATACGATACTTGCAATAGTGCACAAACAAATAACATCTCATTTTGTTATCATATATCCTCTAGTAAAAGTAATAACGTTCTACATTGTCAAAGTGATGTACAGAATTATTACCAGAGTATTATAATAGCCCCAGGCAAAAGCAGTAGTCAATGATAAAAACTATGATTCCGGCAAAACCACATTGCATACTTTGAATATTAGCTTGAACTAGGGGGCTTAAATGTGTAAGGCTGTGGGAGTACCAATGGACCTCTCCTCGACTCATTATCATCATCCAACAGCCTGTGAACCCTCTTCTTGGCACAGTACTGCCTATCGAAGTGTTTCACCTGCACACAAAATCACGTAAACAGAGCAACATACATAACAAGGACATCAAGGCCTCCATTTAATCACATTAAAAAAAATACTTAAGAGTCCAATAGTTTCTCGAAATTGAGGAACTAACCCAGCTGGGTCGGCATTGCTTCACAAATTCATCCCTGGATTTTTTGCACTCCACCGGGTAAAGCAGGCCAACAGTTGCAATTTCAGTGGCTTTCTTGCGAGACTCTTTCTCCAAGCATGCATAGAATTCGTCGCGCGCCTATTTGGACCCCATTGATTTGTACGAATTAGATTCTTATTCATTTAGTTCTTCAATAATACTCCGTATATAACAGGATAAACATGAACCCCAGGAAAGAATTGCAGTCGAAAAGTGGAAAATGGGAAGAGATGGGGGTCTCTGTGTGTACCTTATAGCATGATAATCGAGCTGCATAGAGAACATCAGTTTGGACTTCGTTGGAGACTTGCGTGGAGTCGGATTCAGACGCCATGGATTCAGTGAGGAGAAATTTTTAAGCGATGTTTCGAGTCATTCTAGGGCTAATAATTGTGGCAATCTGGCAGGTTTCTTGGAAAACAAACAGGTTGCCCGGGTCGGGTTGAGATTCTATTCCTATCTTCTCATTTAAAAAATCTTTTTCTAATTTTATTATTTAGAAAATAAATAAATATTTATTTAAGTACTAAATGAAATGTTTATTTTGCTCATATGTAGGTCCACCATATAACTTGTTTTTGTGTTCGTGCAGCTTTTAAATTCAAAATTTATATTCTTCTAGTCTTATTTTTTCAAATTAAAGTATACTCTCTCCGTCCTAGAATACTTTTCTTGATTTGACTTTTTGGTATTTCAAGAGAATGTGTTTTTTTTGTTTTTGACCTTCCAATATTTCCCTTAGAGTTGGTAAAAATAAAGAAATGTTTCAAATCAGTGATTAATAAGTGGAAAAATTATTTAATAAAGAGAGAAGTACACCAAATCCATCACGAACAATTAATGTATTCATTACATCAAAGCAATAAGGTTGGGATTTAAGCCTACACGCCATATTTGAGAGCCAAATTGAAATTCTAAAATTTCAACTAAAATGTTTAAATTTCTCACAAAAACTAAAAATAAGAACCACTAACTAACCTTCTTATAAATATAGCATTCAAAACATTAACCCAAAATATTCTCCACAATTAATGGAGGGTCTTCAACAGCCTCCCACACCACTTTTAGAATCAGATGCAGCCCCTCTTTATCTTTTCATTTTCATCCCCCATTTCCCATTCAGAATCAACACATGTTCCCTTTTTAGCTCAGCTCCTTCACTACTTTGGGTTGTAAGTATTCCATTTTTCACCTTCACTCCTCTTGAAACAAAATTACCAAATACAGCAAGCATTAGCAGGACAATAATAAATGAATAACGTAGAAAACGTATTATAGATGTGCTCTTAGAAAGTGCAAAGGATGGAAAACCTCAGAGTACGTGGCAGTTTCATCACTCTAGTGTAAGAGTTCAACATTTCATCACACACAGTGAAAGGATAAAAATGCAATTAGGTCAGCCTATTGATGGTTATATGCAAGTGGAAGGGTAACTCAGTTTTGAGGAAGGGTAAAAATGCAATCAGGTCAGCCTATTGGTAAGCCAAGGTTTAGCGGTGATGGTTCATGTTTGTGGGATTGGAAAAATGGTGTTTTCCCATTTAGTTTTGAGGAAGCTGCCCAAAGATTAAGAAAAAACAGACCAGTTGGGAAACTAGAGACAAAGCCCATACCCAGGATCACAAAAGAAATACAAGTTACTTGGGTGTTGATCCAACATTAGGTTTTAAGGTAAGTCTACCAAGGGGAACCCTAGGACTAGCATATGTAGGGGTGAGCATGGTACGATATGATACCGTATTTAGCTTGTACCGATACTGTACCAGATATTTTGGTTCGGTATGTGATTTTACATTATACCGACCCTGATCCCAAAATATCAGTTTGGTATGATTCGGGATGGTTCAATATCGGTTTCGGTACGAATTGGGATGGATACATACCTACTTTACACCTTAGCATGTAACATTACCCCTTTATTTTTGAAAAAATGAAAGTACATTTAATTCAAGAAACCTAAAAAACTAAAAAATGAATATTCAAATGCAAGAACTACGTATAAAAACTTAGTTTATATTTCGTAAACTAAAAAATGAGCGACAATAAAATAGTATTTTGAATACATGTGAATATTTTTATAGTCATTTACAAAAAAACAAAAACTCAAATAAAAGTATAACTTACACATAATAGAACTTGAACCAAAATTTTCAAATGAATTTATTATTTAGTGAAGAAATATAAAAAGATTACCGGAGTATTATTTTTATAATATATTAGTATATATGTTTGGTTCAGGATTTTTGGTATGGTACTTCACCTCGTACCATACCTAACTACGGTACCGACCATTCGGTTCGGTTTTTTCTCGGTTTATTTTGGTTCAGTATTCTTGGTGTTTTTGGGAAATTTTAGGATCGATTTGGTACTTGCTCACCCCTAGACACAAGTATTAGTAAACTAAGAGTTTAAGGCAAGGTGTGCCTGCTGAGGCCAATGACTAACTAGGTAAAACCGTACGTACATGTATCCTTGAAATGTCTGGTGATAAATCAGGTGAGGATTCCACCCACCTTATAGAGAAGTCCTTCGTTGGTTTAGTACGGCTCGCTGATCTAGTGGAAACAATCATGACTCCGAAAAAAGTAGAAAAGAGTCTTTAGACTAGTTAGAACATAAGTACAGGTTCTTGGTGATCCACCAACCTTGAAAAATATATAGATATGATAAGAACGGGAATGGGCAAGTGGCAGATAAATTATATGATGAACTATGTGTGTGATTTGTATGTGGTTGCATGATATCACATTATTTTTATGAATTGTGGATTTGCTTATTTGTTTACTTAGATATTTCTTACTCTATGTCATTGGTGAGCATGCAATTGTTTTGTTTTGACTGCACGCAGGTAAGACTGAGGTCAAAGACAAGTTGATCCTGGAGGGCAACAAGACAGGGGAGATGTACGAATGCAGGAATGAAAATGAATCATTAATGTGATGGGTTTTGTGTAAGAAAGGATTTTTCTGCCAATAACATCATGATGATGTTGAATTAAATTACAGTTTAGCTTCTGCACTGTTTTGACCAACTCCAATAAATTTTTAAATTGTTTTTGAAAAGTTTGGGGTTTTGAATTAAATGTGTTTAACTTTTTTTGGAAATTTCTGTGAGTGGATACCAATTTAGTAACAACCCAATTCGCTAACCCATTTATTCAGGTTACGTGAGTTGGGGTATTAGAATATATTAGTAGTCCAGTGTCATCAGGCTCAAAACAAGCCAAAAGATTGTGAGTGTTTATTACATATAGAGCAAATCAAAGTGCGGCCAGGCTAAGAAAATACATTACGGAAATTTCCCAAACTTGAGCCCGAGTCATATAATGGGCTTAACACTTGAAAACCAAGCCTGACTTGTTGGGTATCTGCGGGTTTCGAGCCGGACCGATTTACACTTTAATAAGTTTTAAATAAATAAAGATTATTTTAAAATATAAAACAATGTCTTAGTATATTACATGTTTGATATAAAAATTAAAATGAATACACTATTAATGGATCAAATAATATATGTTACATGCTTTATATTGTATGATAACAATTTTTCTTTTACATTCATTATTAATTAGTGATGAGCAATGATAAATATATTCATTTGATTAAATGAACTTATTAATCTCTTCTTTTCTTCATAAAGGTACGTATGTGTATTTATATAATAGCAATAATAAGTATTATTGTTTTTATTATAATTATCAATTTATTACAATTATTGTTATTTTTGTACTATTATTACTTATTTCTAGTACTCCCTCCGTCCGGAAATAATCTTCCCGTTTCTCCTTTTTCTCCGTCCGAAAATAATCTTCCCATTTCAATTTTTGATACACTAACTACCCAAAATACCTCCACTTACCATTTTCACTCTATCTCTCTCCTCTCCCCTTTCTCTCCCCTCCCTCATTTACTCGCCACTCACACCTTATCTTTTTCTCCTCTCCTCCCTCTTCTCCATTTCTTCATTCGTTCATCCTCATCAGCCCCTCTTTCTCTCCTTCCTCTTCTCTTTTTCTTCTCTTTCTCTCCTTCCTCTTCTCTTTTTCTTCTTCTTTTCCCCTTATTCTTCTTCTCACCCCTGTTTTTTCTCCAGATGAGTTCGTCCTTCTTCTTCTTCTTCTCTTTTTCCAATTCTTCTCTTCCCTCTCTCGCAGATCTACGGTTCTTCTTCTTCTCTTTTTCCAATTCTTCTCTTTCCTTTCTCGCAGATCTACATCTGTTCCCTTTTCTCTCTCTCCAAGAGGTAGAGATGGTGGCGGCTATAGACGATGGTGCGAAAGTGGTGAGGGTTGAGGGGCGATGGTGTTAAGGGTTAAGGCGAGAGTGGTGGGGGAGGGGTCAATCGCCGGCGATGATTGGGGGTGGGTCAATCGCCGGCAATGATTGGGGGGCGGTGGGTGCTAGCCTCGGCAGTGTTGGGGCTGTAAGTGTAAAACAAGTAAGAAATGAAGGGTATATTAGACATATCCCTTCCAAAGTCAACTATTCAAAAAAATGAGAAAAAGTCCAAATGGGAAGATTTTTTCCCCGGACGGAGGGAGTATTATTTGTTGGGATTGTGCTGGCCCGCAGGTTCGATTGTACTAAAAAATAAGGGTATGTTTGGTTGGAGATAGGTAAAAGTTTTATTAGGTAGGTAATGGTAGGTAAGGTAAGGTAATGAATTAAAAAATTGTGTTTGGATGTTTATTAGGTAACGTGAGGTAAAGAAAGAATAAAATTACTAAAATATCCTTCCGGTTGTTTTTCTTTATTTGTTTAGGATGTATTTATATAAAATTATCTTTCACAAAAATTGAAACAAAAAAACGAAAACTGAAAAAAAGGGAAACAAAAAAACGAAAACTGAAAAAAAGTGAACCAAAACTTGAAACTGAAAAAAAGTGAAAAAGCAGAGGAAATTAAAAACTGGAAATAGAAAAAAAAATCTGGAAATCTGGAAATTGGAAAAAAAGGGAAAATCAAAGTGAAAAAAAGTGAGCAGATGGGGATTGGATTTGAAACAAAAAAATGAACTATGCGGAAGAAGATTATGAGGAAGAGCAAAAAGCAAAAAAGTGAACTATGCGGAAGAGCAAAAAAGTGAAAATTAAAACAAAAAAATGAAGGGCGATGGGAATACTGGAAGAAGATGGCGATTGGCGATCGGGTGAAGGGCAACGACGGAGAATATAATTTATTACCATGATATTTCGCCAAATTGGCGGTCAGCCAAAATACATTGTTGAGAGGTAACCCTACCTCCATCTACCTCCCCCTACCTCCCTTGCCTTATCTTAATTTTTGTTACCAAACAAGGTAGAATATTAAATCTACCTCTCTACCTCCCCTACCTCCAAACAAACACACTGTAAATGACTCACATACTCGATCACGTGATATTATAATATTTGTTGTAACACTTTTTTCATAGTATGTAAAAAAAAGTAAGATCACAAAGCTAAGTAACA